TTAGTCTGATGGGTTTCCCTTTGTGGGTAACCTGACCATTCTCTCTGGCTGCCCTTAACATTTTTTCCTTCATTTCAACCTTGGTGAATCTGACAATCATGTGTCTTGGGGTTGCTCTTGTCGAGGAGTATCTTTGTGGTGTTCTCTGTATTTCCTGAATTTGAATGTTGGCTTGCCTTGCTAGGTTAGGGGAGTTCTCCTGGATAATATCCTAAAGAGTGTTTTCCAACTTGGTTCCATTCTCCCCGTCACTTTCAGGTACACCAATCAAACGTAGATTTCATCCTTCACATAGTACCATATTTCTTGGAGGCTTTGTTCGTTTCTCTTTACTCTTTTTTTCTCTAACCTTGTCTTCTCACTTTATTTCATTAATCTGATTTTCAATCACTGATACCCTTTGTTCCACTTGACTGAATCGGCTACTGAAGCTTGTGCATGCGTCACAAAGTTCTCATGCGATGGTTTTCAGCTCTATCAGGTCATTTAACGTCCTCTTTACACTGTTTATTCTAATTAGCCATTCGTCTAACCTTTTTTCAAGGTTTTTTGCTTCCTTGTGATGGGTTAGAACACGTTCCTTTAGCTTGGGAGAAGTCTGTTATTAACGACCTTCTGAAGCCTACTTCTGTCAATTGTCAAACTAATTCTCCATCCAATTTTGTTCCCTTGCTGGCGAGGAGCTGCGATCCTTTGGAGGAGAAGAGGTGCTCTGGTTTTTGGAATTTTCAGCTTTTCCCCTCTGGTTTCTTTTTTCCCCATCTTTGTGGTTTTATCTACTTTTGGTCTTTGATGTTGGTGACCTACAGATGGGGTTTTGGTGTGGATGTCCTTTTTGTTGATGTTGATGCTATTCCTTTCTGTTTGTTAGTTTTCCTTTTAACAGTCAGGTCGCTCACCTGCAGGTCTGTTGAAGTTTGCTGGAGGTCCACTCTAGACCCTGTTTGCCTGGGTATCAACATCGGAGGCTGCAGAACAGCAAATATTGCTGCCTAATCCTTCCTCTGGAAGCTTTGTCCCAGGAGGACACCTGCCTGTTTGAGGTGTCTGTTGGTCCCTGCTGGGAGGTGTCTCCTAGTCAGGCTACCTGGGGGTCAGGGACCCGCTTGAGGATACAGTCTGTCCGTTCTCAGAGCACGGATGCCATGCTGGGAGAACCACTGCTCTCTTCAGAGCTGTCAGACAGGGATGCTTAAGTCTACAGAAGCTGTCCGCCGCCTTTTGTTCTGCTATGCCCTTCCCCCAGTGGTGGAATGTAGTGGCAATAGTCCTTGTTGAGTTGCAGTGGGCTTCTCCCAGTTTGAATTTCCAGGCTGCTTTGTTTACACTGTAAGCTACTCAAGCCACAGCAATGGCGCATGCTCCTCCCACTGTCAAGCTGCAGCATCACAGGTTGATCTCAGACTGCTGTGCTAGCAGTGAGCAACACTCTGTGGGCGTGGGACCCGCCAAGCCAGGTACGGGAGGGTATCTCCTGGTCTGCCATTTTCTAAGACCGTTGGAAAAGCACAGTATTTAGGTGGCAGTGTCCCAATTTTCCCTGTACAGTCTGTCATGGCTTCCCTTGGCTAGGAAAGGGAAATCCCCTGATCCCTTGTGCTTCCTGGGTAAGGCGACACCCCACCCTGCTTCAGCTCGCCCTCCTTGGGCTGCACCCACTGTCCAACCAGTCCCAATGAGATGAACCAGGTACCTCAGTTGGAAATGCAGAAATCACCCATCTTCTGCGTCGATCTCGCTGGGAGCTGCAGACCAGAGGTGTTCCTATTTAGCCATCTCGGAAGCAACTCTCCTTTTCTCTTTTTTCAGACAAGGTCTTCACTCTATTACCCAGGCTGAAGTGCAGAGGCATGATCTCAGCTCACTGCAACCTCTGCCTCCCAGGATCAAGTGATTCTCCTACCTCAGGTTCTTGAGTAGCTGGGACCACAAGCATGTGGCACCATGCCTGGCTAATTTTTTTTATTTTTGATAGAGACAAGGTTTCACCATGTTATGTAGATTGGTCTCAAACTTCTGAGCTCAAGCAATCTGCTTGACTCAGTCTCCCCAAATGATGGGATTACAGGAGTAAGTCACTGCACCTGACCTATTCTTTTCATTTTATGAATTGTTTTCTGGTTGTTTTGCATACGTATCCTTTGTTCATTCTTTATCTCTTATTGTTTATCAATGAGATATGGTGGTTTTCTGTACTGGTAACATTTGAGTCTTTTCTCTTTTTTATTTGTGTGTCTGAGCTACCGGTGAGTTTTCTACTTTTGTGTGATCTCATGATGGTAGATATTGTCTTTACACTTCCAAATGTAGGGCTCCCTTAAGAATTTCATGTAGGGCCATTCTAGTGGTAATGAATTCCCTCAGTTTTTGCATGTCTAGGAAAGACTTATTTCTCCTTCATTCACTTTGCTTGTGCAGATGGGTAGCAGCAGCCATGGTGGCAGCTTACTTAAATGCAAAGTCAGTATTGTTTAAGGAAGTCTCATGCTATTGAACTAAAAGTACACTTCTAAAACTTCATTAAGATAGATTTTTCCTAAAAAGGAGTTGTAAGAAACAAAAGTTTGGATGTGTGTGTATAACAAAAGTAAGATTAAAAAATGAACCTATAAATATAGAATGTTCTCATCTTGAAAAGCAAGCTTCTAAGACAACTTTCATTGCAATGTAGTCAACACCTTATTATTGAGGTTTCCATGTGATTTGGCATACCAGATAAACCACACTAAAAATAATCTGTTTTCTTTTCTTAAATTCTCCCCTCTCTTCCCAACCAAAACATACAAAACATATTCAAGTACCTAGAATCTTAGATTCCTAAAAAATTTACTAGATAAAAGGTTAAATTTGTGGTTTTAACTCAGTAAAATCGACAGTGTATTTGGGCAATAAATATTTTTAACTTTGAAAACTATGTCAATAATGAAAATGTTGTAGCAAAAGTCATAATCAATCCAGAATTAAGAAGTTTAAATTATGCAATATTATTTTCTACCTGTTTCTCAATGAAAATTTGGTTTGCATCATGGAATAGTTTTAAAGAAAATAAGTTTTATTGCATCTCACAGCCACCAGGCCTGCTTTACTCACTTGCAATTAGTACATTATATAAAAATGTAACTGTAAAATCAGACTGTTAAGTGTTTGAATGCTGACAAAAAATGGTGGGAAGTGGGAGCGGGGGTGGGGAAATCTATAATTTATCTTGCCTGTCTCAACTGTACTGCAGGTGACTAAAGAAGTGAGCATGGCAGGTCCCTCTTTTAACAGAAAATTTAGCTAATTATACCTGCAGTAGAGTGATAGATTCAGTGTGTCACAATTTTGCAACTCCTATTGAAATAATGGGCCTGACAATAATCATTCATACCTCCTAACCATTACAGAATACTGTAATGGATGATCTATGCTGAAGAAAACTGAACCTACTGATCAATTTTAATATCACATAAGGGAGAGAACTTAAACTACATCACCTAATGAGCTGAAACATACAGCAACACCTAGGAAATATTCTTGATATTCCCACTCCCACCACCCACAAAAGAATTCTGATTCTGTGGCTGGGCGCGGCGGCTCATGCCTGTAATCCTGGCACTTTGGGAGGCCAAGGTGGGTGAACTGCCTGAGCTCAGGAGTTCGAGACCAGCCTGGCCAACATGGTGAAACACCATCTCTACTAAAATACAAAAAAATTAGCTGGGCATGGCAGCATGTACTTGTAGTCCCAGCTACTTGGGAGGTGGAGGTTGCAGTGAGTGGAGACAGTGTCACTGCACTACAGCCGGGGCAACAGAGCAAGACTCTGTCTCCAAAAAAAAATTTAAAAAATTCTGATTCTAGGAACACAATAACATGTAATATGTTAACTCCATTGGGATACAATCTGAAAAATCCACACAACTGTACAGCACAGATGTGTACAGCACAGATGGTTTCTCTACTTCTGCATGAACCTTGTTTAACTTCCTGATTTGATAAAAACATGTAGGAGAAAATCTGGGCATTTGAATAACGACTAGATATTCAATGACATTAAGAAATTGTTGATTGGGTGTGGTGGCTCATGTTGGTATTCCCACCATTTTGGGAAGCCAAGGTGGGCAGATCGCTTGAGCCAAGGAGTTCAAGACCAGTCTAGGCAACATGGGGAAACTTCATCTCTACAAAAAATACAAAAATTAGCCAGGTATAATGGCACATGCTTGTAGTCCTAAATGGTCTCGAGGCTGAGGTGGGAGGATAGTTTGAGCCTGGGAGGCAGAGGCTGCAGTGAGCTGTGATCGCATGCACCACTGTGCTCCAGCCTGGGGGACAGAGTGAGACTCTCTCAAAAAAAGAAATTATTGTTTAATTTTTTTAGATTTCAAAATGATCTGGCAGTTTTAAATAAAAAAGTCTTCACAATTTGAGATACAGATGGAAATATTTAAAAATGAAATTATACGTTTGGGGGTTAATTTAAAATTATCTTGGATAGGAGGAACTTGTAGGTGCATTTACAGGGGAAACAAGATTGGGCCATATAATAATTGTTGAAGCCAGGTGATGGTTAAAGGGGCATATATTATGACATTCTGTCCAATTTTCTGTTTACAATTTTCCATAATAAGTTTTAAAAGTCTGTGAAATTCTTCTTGTACATAAGCTAAAGATTTTTCTTATCATTAAATTTGTAGCACATATTATTTTTTTAAAATTTTAACAAAAAAGATAAAGAAACAGCAGGCAAAATGTGGTGAAATTATCATGAATTCATAAAAAGTAGAGAATTCAAATTCTGAGGCAGTTATTAACAAACAACAAAAACGACAATAGCTAAAGACTTACTTATTACAGTCAGTACTTTTTCCATGTTTCCAAATCACTAACTTTCTAACGTCCTTTTAACATTAATTTCAACATTTACTTCATTAGCAATTAAATACGAAGTGTAGAGTAAATAAAACCCCATACTTCTTTGGCAACTCAAAACAATTCCAGATTCATGTGCAACTCACCTGCTGTAAAATCTTCAGTCAGATCAATAAATGCATGAGAATGTGGAATTCGCATTTTACTTGTAGTGGTCAATGCTGGATGCCATGATAAATTCCTAAAAAATAAAATAAAAATACTTTTCTTAAGGTAAACATCAAATGAGCATTATTTTAAAATAAAAATTTCTGCATGCAAAACACTTAAAAATTTATTTATTTTTATTGATACATTCAAAATACCATACAATTCATTCTCTTAAAGTGCCTTGAGTAGTTTTTAGTATGTTCACAGTGTACAATCATCACTACTATTTAACTCCAAAGCATTTTCATCACACCAGAAAAGAAATTGTGTACTCTTATTTCCCTTCACTGGCAACCACAAATCTGCATTCTGTCTCTATTCAGGACATTTCACATAAATGAAATCATACAATATGTGGTCTTTTGTGTTTGGCTTCATTCAGTTAGAATAATGTTTTCAAGTTCATCCATGTTGAAACATGTATCAGTGCCTCAGCTCTTTTTATGGTGGAATAATATTCCATTGTTTGGGTTTTTACATTTTGCTTATCCATTCATCTGAAGATTTGGCTTGTTTCCACTTTCTGGCTGCTACAAATATTAATGTACAAGTCTTGATGTGGACATATGTTTTCAATTCTTTTTGTTATATACCTAGTAGTGGAATTGTTGGGTCATAGAGGAATATATGTTTAACTTTTTGAGGAATTGTTGAACTGTTTTTCCACTTCACCATCTTACATTTGTACCCAGCAATGTAGAATTCCAGTATCTCCAAATCCTGTCTTATTCTTGTCCATTTATTTTATTATAGCTATCCTAGAGGGTGTGATACAGTATTTCACTGTGGTTTGATTTGTATTTTCCTGCTAGCTAATGATGCTGAACATGTTTGCTGTGGTTACTGGCCATCTGTATATATTCTCTGGAAAAATGTCTACTCAAATTATTTTTCCATTCTTAAATTGTGTTATGTATGTTATGTATTGCTTTACTGCTTTCCATCCCTCCCTCCCTCCCTCCCTCCATCCATCCATTTTTAGAGACGGGTTCTTGCCTTTTTGCCCAGACTGGTCTTGATCTCCTGGCTTAAAGGGATCTTCCCTCCTTGGCCTCTCAAAGCGCTGGGATTACAAGACCATTGCCCTCAGTCCCTGTTGGTGCATTTTAAGAGTTCTTTATATAATCTGGACATTAGGCCTTTAGCCAGTATATGACTTGTCTCCTAGGTTGTGGGTTGTCTTTTTACTTTTTTTTTTTTTTGAGACAGAGTCTCACTCTGTCACCCAGGTTGTAGTGCAGTAGTGCGATTTCCGCTCACTGCAACTTCCGCCTCCAGGGTTCAAACGATTCTCCTGTCTTAGCCACCCAAGTAGCCGGGATTACAGGCATGTACCACCATGCCTGGCTAATTTTTTGTATTTTTTTTTTTTTTTTAGTAGAGATAGGGTTTCACCATGTTGGTCAGACTGGTCTTGAATTCTGGAGCTCAGGCAATTCGCCTGCCTCGGCCTCCCAAAGTGTTGGGATTACAGGCATGACCCACCGTGCCCGGACATCTTTTTACTTTCTTGATAGTACAAGTTCTTAATTTTGATTAAGTCCAATATATCAATTTTTCATCTTTTTGCTTGTTCTTTTGGTATCATATCAAGAATCCATTTTCCAATGCAAAGTCATGAAAATTTACCTGTTTTCTTCTAAGAGTTTTATAGTTGTAGCAGTCATATTTATTATCTTTAATCTTTTTTTAAATGAATCAGAAAATAAATGATTAATGTTATAGAAGGTTTTCTAATATTGTGGAAAATAATAATGACTCTCTTTTACAAATTTAATTCTAAAGTTTTGGACCATGCAGAAGAATAAATTTACGCCCCTACTTCACATTACATACAAAATTTAACTCAGAATGGATGAAAGAACTAAAAGGATCTCTGGAAAACAGTTTGGCAGTTCTTCAAAAAGTTAAACACAGAATTACTATATGATCCTGCATTTCTACACTTAGCTATATATCCAAGATAATTAAAAATAAGTAAACAAATACTTGAAAAATGAATGCTCTTAGCAGTGCTATTCACAATAGCCCACAAGTGGAAATAACACAAATTCGCAATAGTGGATAAATGGATGAACAAAAATGTCATATATCTATACAATGGACTATTATTAAGCCTTAGAAAGGAATAAATTACCAATACAATACAGACTAGTACAAAATGGATGATCCTTAAAAACATACTATGTGAAAAAAGGCAGAAACAAAAAGTCACGCACTGGAGAATTCCATTTACGTGAAATATTCATAATAATTAAATCTATAGAGACAGAAAGCAGATTTGTGGTTGTCAGGTGCTGAGACACAAAAGGGAGTGACTGCTTAATGTAGGGTTCCCTAACTCTTGGGCTGTGGACCACTACAGGTCCATGGCCTTTTAGGAACCAGGCTACACAGCAGAAGGTGAACAGCAGGCAAGTGAGCATCACCTCATGAGCTCTGTCACCTGCCAGATCAGCGGTGGCATTGGATTCTCAAAGGACTGTGAACCCTATTGTGAAATGCGCATTCAAGGGATCTAGGCTGTGCACTCCTTATGAGAATCTAATGCCTGATGATCTGAGGTGGAACAATTTTATCCCGAAACCACCCCTACCACCTGGCCTCTGACCCTGTCCGTGGACAAACTGTCTTCCACGACACTGGTCCCTGGTGCCAAAAAGGTTGGGGACTGCTGGCTTAGTGGATACAGGGTTCCCTTTGGAGTGATAAATGGTATGGGATCCAGATACAGCAGATGGTTGTGCAAAATTGTAAACGTACTAAATGATACTAAATTGTACACTTTATAAATTATACAACTAGGGATTCTATGATAAATTTAAAGTTTTATGTTATGTGAATTTTATCTTACTAAGAAAAGCCCATAGCACAAAGTTTCCATTTATCTCTCATTCGACTTCCATTAATCTTAACATCTTATATAACCACAGTATAAATATCAAAACCAGAAGGTAACACTGGTAGTACCTCTATCAACTATAGAAGAAAGAGCAAGTTTAAATAAAGTCATTCCCCTATAATTTCTCACTAGGTAAGAAAACTCCCATTTACCAAGGCTCTACTCAAATCAGCTTTCTCCAAAAGATCTTCTCTCTTCTCTTAACTGTTTTCCTGCTACACCATTCCTTCCTAATAGCATTCTGGTTTGCATTAAAGTTACTTTAGGAACTTTCTCTTTGATGCTGTAAAGCTCCCCCAGAAATCCTGACTCATCAATATCTGTACCCACCATGCCTAACCAGGACCTGGCTCCCATGAAATGTCAGTGAATGCCGGCTAGACTGAACCTCAGTCTCAAGCAGCATTTCCGATTCTTCTCTACAGCAGTTAGAATTCACTACCGTTTTCATAATAATACGTTCCAGTCCAATATGAAACCACAGATATGTCATCTCCATAGAGCAATTTAAGGCTATTTAAGTCCAAATTAATTGTCAACGCAGTATCCAACTGACTGGATAGCAAACAAGGTTTATAACTGTGAATCTGGTTTTGATGTCTTTGGAAATCAGAAAGACACAACGGACTAATTTGTTCTTGGCAGGCGGAATCTGGGAAAAAGAATAAGCATTCATCAGGAGAAAATTTTCTCCACACAAAATGTGTTCTACAAACAGCAACCTCTTTCCAACAGCCTTCTACACATATTTTAGCACAAGCAGGGCCTAAACACACTTTAACCTAAATAAGATAGTAAAATCAAAACCAAGCAGTATTCATACAAACTAATTTCATTATTTTAACCTGAACTCTATAATATAAAGTCATGGTAATAAGAAAGTATTAAAATGAATTGAGAAATTGCATTTAGCATATGTTGTAAGGTAATTCACGCCAAGCAATGGATTTGATTATTCTTTCACCATATATAAGGTTAGAAATCTTTAAAATAGTTTCATTTATATCCAATTTAATAATGACTGATTAACTTATTTTTAAGATAGACCATTTATTCATTAGTTCAATAATTTCTAAGAATTAAAGTATTTTAAATTACTAACAAAATAATCAAACTCGGGTTAAAGATTCTCTGACAAGTTTAACCCAAAGTCATTTCAGAAAACTTTCCTAATGTTGCCATCAAATTCATGTTATAGACCAAGAATGATTAAAAACAGACTTTTATAGAGTAAAGCTCAATGAGATTGATCATGTGGCTCTGTCTCTAACCTGAGCAGTTATTGATCTCATTCCCTATAAAATTTTTAGTAGGCTTACTATGAAATAAGGTATAGCTAGAATTTTGGAAAACCTCAACTACCTTGTGATATTTTTTCCTAGGAGCTATTTAACCAAATGTTTATTTCAAAGGAAGACTCTAGAAAAGTGATAAATCGAAAGTCATAAAGGGACAGACCATCAGCCAAATTGAGCATAAAGATGTGTTTTATTTGGCCCATATACTCCTTTAAGAATCTTGAATTCATTGCTATAACTTAAAAAGAAAATCTGATTTCATATAAAAGTCTGGATTTCCAGCTTCTCTTGAAATATCAGAAATATCAGACGGTCTGGCAATCAACTGGCTTTGTTGAGACAGAGCTAGTGTCTAAAGACAACCCTAGTGTTAATTTTCCCAAATTGCTTCACTCACTCTGGTTTCCTTGCTGACTCCTGACAAATATGAATTTGTCACTCCTAACAATATATTAATTGCAATCTTGCCTTTTTGAACATTTAAAATCAACATTTAAGTTCTTCACAGTATTTTAAGCTTTATACTTAGTGCCTATGCTTTGCTATTTTACAGTTACACCTCTTAAAAGGCAGCAGCTGATCCTTAGAGTTTATTTTATTCAGTGTCTATTTACTGTTCTGATGTTTACCAAAGGTGTACAGAAAATGAAAGAACAGTTGTTTGTTTTTGTGACGCATTTTAAGATGAATAAAAACTGAATATATATATACACACACATATATATAGCTGTCAATAAGAGCTGAAGTGAATAAAAAACTGAATATATATATATATAGTTGTCAATAAGAACTAAAGTGTTAATAGATTTATAGTAGAAAATAATATTCATT